AGAATGCAATTTCACCATCCTCACGCGTTGTGGATTGCTTGCTTGCTATATAGGAGTATTCACTCAATATATATATATATATGTATCAGTGATTAGTGATAAAATATGAAACAAAAGCTTGGAACAGTTCATATTCTTAATCCATCTTGGGTGTCTGTTTGCTCAAGCTAAGCAGAGTTTGTTGTTTCAGCCATGCGAAAGAAATGCAGGATACAAGGGACTCACCGCAACTTCCCCACCTCCTCTGGGAGCACCACCCAGCTCTATGCCATGAATGAGATGCACATCCCTGCCTCCATCACACTTGGCTCCCTAGGGAAGCTGACATCATTTTTTCCCTTCTGGGCAACTTCTGCCTGCCCTGATCTGATCACAGAGGAGGTGGTATCTGAGGGATGAGCAGGGAGGAGAGGGTTGTTTTTCTCTACTCTGCCCCTGTGAGGCCCCATCTGAGCACTGTGTCCAAATCTGGGGCTCCCAGTACAGGAGGGATGTGGAGCAGTTGGAGTGGGACCAGAGGAGGGACATGAAATGATCAGAGAGTTGGAGCACCACTCCTGCGAAGAAAGGCTGGGAGAGTTGGGCTTGATCATCTTGGAGAAAAGAAGGCTCCAGAGACAGTCCACTGCAGCCTTCCAGTACTCAATGCTTATATGCAGGAAGGGATCTGACTTTTTACACAGTCTGATAGTGACAGGACAAGAGAGAATGGCTTTAAGAAAAAGAGGACGAAATTTAGTTATAGGTTAGGAACAAATTCTTTGCTGTGATGGTAGTGCTGTGTTTCACAAGCTACCCAGAGAAGTTGTTAATGCCCCATCCCTGGAGGTGTTCATGGCCAAGCTGCATGAGGCCGTGGGCAGCCTGATTTAATGAGTGGCAATTCTTCCCACAGCAGGGAGCTGATACCAGATGATCTTTAAGGTCCTTTCCAACCGGAGACATTCTGTTATTCTATGACCCTGTCCTCCTGACCTGGGCACTGAACACACTGCAGTGCAAAGCCCTAAGCGGCCTGCTGGAGCCAGGACCCTCCTGTCAGGGACACTGCAGCATCTCCTTCACCTGCAGCCTCCAGGGAAGGCCAGCAGCAAGCTGCAGATAGCCTCCTTGCTGCCAGGCCGCAGAGAAAGAAAAGCACTCTCACATCAGATATTTCTGCATCCTTCCTACAGCTACCAAACCATGTCTCACTCCGGGCAGTCCTCCACTTTAAGTCTCTGCTGCTTGCTGACCTGCCGATATTGAAATCCTAAGCAAAAGCATGCATACTTAACCCCAATTCATCATTCTGATTTTGATTAACTCCACAAGTCAGAGGTTTAATCTTGCTTTAAGAAAACACTCCTGTCCTCCCTACTCTGCATCTTCCAAAAGGAAATTCAACAGAAGGGGTTTTGCTATTATCTATCCCCTTCCACTTCCTTGGACATTTCATGAACCTCCAAAATAGCTGCCCAGCATCCATCCCAACCATGGCCTGCCCAATGTACAGAGTAGCTCTTATTTCCTCAGTGGCCCGTAATGAGGAGATTGATACCAGGATCTGGGCTCTTGACGTGGTTATGTACTGACACTAAGCCACTTTAGCAGATGAGCAGGCACTCCATTTGGTGAGTACTATTTATATACAGTGAGTATTTCATGGATGCTTTTTGGAGGATCTCAGAAACACACCAGTGTTCAGCACGTTACGCTTCGTTCTTCATTTCCTTTTAAGTATATCTCTCGGGGTGTTATGTTGAGTAGCCCTGTCTTACAAAATCAATTATTCCTTAGCCAGCTCAGAAATAAAACCCAAAGTAAGCAACACCAAATGTCTGATTTACCAATAGATTGCAATCCTGCGCTAAAGAGCACAGCCGTGGCCCTGCTTTAAATATTCATGAAGCTCACTGGTGCAAAATGCATTAAAGGTGGGAATAATGCCAGTAATGCACGATCCTCTTAGTGACAAGAAGCTTTCACATATTAAAGTAGCAAGATGTTAAAGACTTTCAACTGAACAGTCTTTGTTTTTAACCCAGAGAAAGAGATTCACTAATGGAATGCCAAATTGCATTCACTCTTGTGATATTAGGCTGTGGAATAGGATAATAATATATGTGTGCTTTAACATGCCTCAGAAAACCTGTTATTACAGTTGGTTCTTTTCTGCCTTTTCTTTGTACCTTCCACAAAATGTTCACATGCACATCTTACCCCTTTGAGTAGTCTTTTATGTGGCAAAAACCCTATGAAAATCCCAGGAGTCTAGCCATTAACAGATTGGTTTTAAGGAAATGAAACAATTTAAAAATAATGGTGACACACTACAATAGCACAATTCAGCTGAGTGACAATTGGCAATGAATAATGAAAAAAAAAAAACAAAAAAAAAAAAAAAGTAAAAAAAAAAAAAAAAAAAAAAGAAAGAGTTAAACCAGAGACAAGGGACTGCGAAATAACAGACTGTGGCAATGCAGAATAATGTTAATTGTCGCTTTAAATCATCAGCAGCCCAACCACATCTGCTATCACACCTGTGCTTTCCCTTCTGATCTACCCTGACACCGAGCTACAGCAGGCAGCCAGCCAGCCCTGCATCTCCAGCTCTGAGCTCTGGCTCTGCTGCCAGCTTGCATCCCCCTCACCTACAGCAGACCAGGCACAGATCCTATAAGCTTTGATGGATGGGGGACACTGCTGCTGCAGGCCTCCTCACCCCCTAACTGCAGCTCCCAGGGCTGCCGGCAGCTCCCGACATCCTTTGGACTTTCAGGAACCCCAGTGGTTGGGAATCCTGCTTACTTCTGAAATTAGACATTAGAAGAACACAAACTGAATAATAAACTGGAATTTTGCTTCCCACTTAATGCAGGGGAATTTTTCCACACACTAAATTTTTGCAGGGACAGGGAAAAATGCATCAGGATACAACTATCTGCTGCCAAACACAGGAATTCAATTAATGTACATTTTGAAAGAGGGATCTAGGTTCCCCATACATGGCCTGCTTTTATTCCAGAAATAAGAATAACAAAGAACTAACACCCACAAGGCTCATTTTTTAGAAAGACGTTTATCCACGACTAATCATGGGGCAGAGACAGGAAAGCAGGGCTCTGTTACGGCACATGAAGTTGTTTACTTCAAAGCAGCCCTTTAACAAGCTTTGCACGGTCTTTTTACTTCTGCTTAGAAATCTGCTTTGCTGCCTTTCAGCATCCTCCCAGCAAATGCCTTTCCCCTGCTCCCCGCCCTGAGAAGCACCTTCCCCTGCAGAACGGCCGCCTGTCAATAAAGATTGAGAACTTCAGCTCCCGCAGTTACTGCACTGCTCTGCGTAAGCCAAGCTGTTTGGAAGGGGAGGAATTAGTTGCAGAAGCTGCAGTGAGAACGTTGCTGGGCTAAGTTGGAGCTGGCTCCTTTATCAAGCTATTTCCGGAAAAAAATAAACACTGCTCCTCAGCGCTTGTGATTAATAATGTTATCTGGTAGCTAATTTTATTCCTTACCCCTCTCTTCTGCCGCCTTCCAACTTGCAAGTGCACTTAATTATGAAAACATGAGCACTAGACTGTGGATTTTGATGTATTAATTTTACCACAGCTTTTTTTCAGCACTGCACCACCGAATCCCTCAGGGATAACTGGTCAAGGAGACACTGAAATTCCGACACCAAAAGTCATTTCCTTAAACAAAGTCAACATTAAGAAGTATCTTCCACACAAATTTCAGTGCATTATTGCAAACCAAGATGCATCTTGCTCTGGTTTTTCAACACCTGAATTTCTTTTGATGCCTGGAGCCAGAGCCAGACTTCTGTGGCTAGTTGCTTGGTGCTTTATAAAGATTGGGTTCAGAAGTCATTAGAGGTTTGGCAAGACCAAAGCAAAACGAGCACGAGTTGATCACCATATCCATAAGTATCTTCGTTGAATAAAAGAAATGTTTATCATCTCACGTGTGGTCAAGGATGTCGTGCCTGGATGGGGCCAGCTGCCCAACACTGGCCCCAGTTATCATGTTCACCATTCATTCATTCGTTCATTCATTCCACTCTGCTCTGCTCCTCCTGTACGTGTCAGAGTTCAGGCAATACCACATTATTAGTATCTCACTGCCCAGTTTCTGTATCCACCCTTTAAACACCAGCAGCCTTCAGCTTCAGTAGCATCACTCAGATCATCGACTCTAACATATGCATGATTATTTTGATGTCTTTCCAAATTTGTACCAATTACTTACAACTACGAAAATATGAGGCTTGACATTAAGGTGGTGTTAGAAATACAACTGTGTGGATAGCTGCTTTCTGGATCAGCTGGCTGCTCCAAAATTACAGTGAAATGATTAGCTTAAGGTTGACTTACTACAAGGTGTTTGCACAGTACCTAGGCAAACTGACAAATCCAACAAAATATTCTAACTAGAAAGAATTATTTCCCCTCAGCTTACGTGACTAAGGTTTAAAACAACAACCAAAGAAGAGTATTTTTCCAACGTCTTTCCAAAAATAAAAGATAAATTTCTACTGAGAAGATGTCTGAATGCACACTCTATTTATAATTTCTAACATTTGAGGGTTAGGTGTTTGATCCCAGCAACCAAGAAAAAGAGAGACAGATTTCCCAACATTGCTAATGCCACACATGACTTAACACAATGATAATATTAATGATACTTTTAAACTGGAAACGCTGCAGGTCAATTAGCTTTCCCAATTCTGTTTTTATCAAAGAATAAAGCCATAAAATCCCAGATGGAGTAACATAAGTTATAATAGCAGCAAAATGGACAACTGCGTTTCTGGACTTCTAAATTGTGCATGTTCCAAAATTACAAACGTTTTTTCAGCCTAACAGCCACTTCGGTCACCATCTAAGCCATCAACACCATCTAATGAATCTCTGGGTGCAAAAAATGAAATGTCTAACATTTTTAATGCTTTCTAAACCACAGTATCTTTAAATAATACAACATTGATTGAAATAGAAGAGTAGACCAAATTACTGTACCAAACGTCCTCTGCATCTTCGTCACACTCTGCCCCAAACTGGCAAATGTCACAGGTCGATGTCTCTTTTTGATTGGTTTCACCTGAGCCTTCATTGACTGTTTGATGAAAAGCAGAAGAATAGACATTAGTAAAGACTGCAGCAACAAAGCACTTCCTTCTAGAAAAATCTGTTCACCGTGTCAGCTGAATGCGATGCTCACAAAGCTCACGTTGGCCAACAGGCAGCATTTTTGAATGAGCCCAACACAGAGATTTCCTTGTCGCTCTGTAGGAAAATTGCCTGGGTTATGGAGTGAAAAGGAAAGAGAGAGAAAACTGCTCCTCTTCCTTTACCCTTCCAACCTTGCAGCCTTGGAACATCCTCATCTGCCCCCACCGTAGCATTCCACAGGTCCCCACAGATTCTGCAACTAAGGGCACTAAGAGGAGGGTCTGTTAGAAGATCCAACAAAAACATACCTATGTTTGTACGTAAGCATACAAGCACCTTTTACTATCTTTCAAAGACTGCTGCTTTCTAGCAAGCCTCAGCACCCAGTGATACCCATCAGATGGCTGCAGAATGAGTACACCAGCCTGGAGGGCAGGTAGCAGTCAGCCCCAATGGACACTGCTATGTGCAGAAATGCTCTCTGTGCTCATCCCTTCCTTCCTTTCTTCCATGTGGTGCAGGGTCACTGCACACACTGAACAAGTTATTTAACCTCTGCCCCAATCCCTATTTGTAAAATGAGGAAAATGATGCTTTCTGACGATAATAAGAGGGAAAAAAAAGTTTTCCCGTATTTGTCTCTCATCTTTATACTCTCATGTACTGAAGAAAAAAAAAGAGGAACCTCAGAAGTCATACTCTGGCTTTTTGTTCTGCACTGTCAGGGTCTGGGATATGTAATTTCTGCTTCCTTAAATGACTCAGGAACTCACTATGTTCTCATCTCATAAGAGCTAACTTACAAGAGCGGAAAAGTTGTCCATGTGCCTCACACCATTAGCATCTCCATGGCCACGTGTGTCATCCTGAACCTACAGCCTGGGTTTTTCATAGATTTTTCTTTTTTTTTCTTTTTCTTCCTTTTTTTCTATATATAGAAATCTCTTTTTCTCAAGAGACAACTTTGACAGCCTGGCTAAGGATTTCTGAAGATATTGGGCAGGATACATGATCTGGATTGATGAAGTATGAAGTCCTGCTGCTGCACTGTGCCACAGGTTCCTCTTTCTGTACAAGGGGAATGGAATCCTTTGGCAAGACACATTGGGAGCAGTAATGAATGACTGCATGAGAAGTACACAGAGACCTATGGTCAGGAGTGGCTTGTGACAGCCACACACTCCTCACCCACCAGGAATATGAGATCTGCTCCAGCCCAGGAGCGTGAACAAATTCTTTAAGACAAAGAGCTATCATTTCTGCAAATCACTTCCCTTATATTTCCTTTGAGTTAAAAACATGCACCCTATTTTTTCCTCCCTCTAAGGTTTCTGCTAATAAGAATCTAGCAGGTGTGGGCTGACCAGGGATTTCACATAGGCCCACATCACAAACTAAGCAAAAGTAAGTAATGCAAAGATTTAGTAACTGATTTGGAGGGGAACATGTGCCCTGAGATGCAATGCAGTTGTGAATTTCTGCCGAAAAGTAACAGGTAACTCCTTCATGTCCTTCGAAGAAGCTCTGCACGCAGCATTCCAGTGCACACACTGTCATTAAATGCCTGAGCATGCAGCAGTCTTGATGACAGAAGACAGCTGCTTCTCCCTCTCTCCTCTTCCCAACACCTACAGATAACATTATTATTTACCTTTCCTCAAGGTGTGTTTTCCCTTCCTACACAAACACGCACACCCGCACAAGCACCCGCGCCCACAGCCTGCCAGACACAGAGCTTTGCTTTCTGCATGCTGTGCAGGTAAGCACCTTGATAAATGTGGACATCTTAGAGTTATTTTCCTGCTGCTTTTCAGCCCGAGGACTAGTGGATGTGTTTTTTCTAAGGGGACTCTTCTCCTTTCTTCTCCTGTTCCTTGCTGCATCGCTGATCTGCGCTCCCTTTCATAACTCAACTGAAAATAAAACATTAGTGGGAATAATGCAGTTTGTGAATTCCTCTTGCTAAAAATGTAAGAAGCGTGATTCCTTTTTTTTTTTTTTTTTTTCCTCCATGCAAGTTACAAAGTTCTCAAATTAGCAAGTGTTGAGATGATACAAGGGACATGTGGTACCTTGCTGACAGATCGTACTGTGAGGAGTCAATGGATGTGCAAAGGGGAGCCGTGGAGCCCCGAGGGAGAGAGGCCAGCTAAGCACTAAACTTGGCTAAAACTCTTTGATATCCTTTCCTCTGAAGGCAACAGGGGAAACTAATGAGACTCTCTGGTCAGTTTTCATTGGTCTTCGGAGGACCACTAATAGTAGTATAATAATCTTTAGTCAATATATTTTAACTATACTGGAGAACACAGCAGGAAAAAACATATTAAACACCACTATCACACGCTTGAATATACAAAGATACAAGCAGCCTGATCAAAATGTGTCTATGGTCATCGCAGGGGATTTTGACTAAATGACCTTTAAGGTTCTCCTGCAACTCATAAGATTTCATTATTCTATATTCTCTTTATATTGCTTCGATTGGTGTGATCAGATAAAAGCTTATCACAGCCTCGGAGCAGGCATGATCTTCATGCTGTCATCCATCATGCTTGATCCTGACCAAAAACTGGGATCACCCCAGCAGAGTGCTGAGCCCAAGCCAATGGATCTTGGGCCTTTTAGCCAACAAGACTGCGAGACAGTGTCTGGGGGAACTCACTGCATAATGATGTCCAAAGTCTGGTTTTTACAGTCCCAGATGTGCTGCACATTTCCTTACACAGCCCAACCAGCAAGCAGCTGCAGGGATAGCCCAGTCTTCTTTAGCTGAGATTAAACATGTCTCCTACTAGGGCTGGTTTTTACAGATGACCGAGCTAATTTTGAACTATGACAATTATAAGTGACAAATGTCAGCATTCTGACCACATGCTGAAAATATGACATAATTAATACTTGAGTACTTGATTTGTCACAGTGGGATGTCTTTGCTATTGCTGAAAGAAAAACATCAAACAAAATTGCTCTAGATCATTCTAACAGGAAACCCAGTTTGATTTCAGCTACAAAATCTAGGCAACAACAAAAATCACATGAAGATTAGGGTCGATGGCCATTTTGGAATGAAAGATAACGTGCAAATTAAACTGGAGGAGGAAAAGAACAATGATATCCAGAGCAGCTGAGGTGATCCTGTCACACACGTCAGTATTAACAGGATTGCTCTGGACAAGTGACAAGGAGAGCAGGCAAAGCGAGAAGGCTCTGAGAAATGAGGGCAGGGAACCAGCAGAATTTACTAAATGTGTCAGAACACTACCTGCATCTCTTCCAAACAGCTAAACCACCTCACAAACGAGACCAATAAAAGCCCAGATGCTGCGAGTGACTTCCTTCTAATCAATAAGCCCTTTTTCCTGAAAGCATTAGCTCAGTCAAAACCTGCAAAGTGAGAAAAATGAAGGGTGCGAAGCAGGGGGTGGACTCTGCTCTCAAAGCCTGGCAGAGGCTCAGAACAACATTACGGTCAAAATGAAAAGAAAATGCTCTATTGTGTTGGTAATAAATCCCAGCTCTGACACGTCGCGTTCTGCTCTCCTCCCGCTGTCTGGCTCCACCTCAATAAATACACACTTACTCTCTCTTGCACACACAGACATGCTAGGGTAATTACACAAGGCATGACGAAGCCATGCCTCCAACCAGCAGGGGCCCTGACACAGAACTTCTCAAGGAGATCTGCCATGTTTGCCTGTCATGTTTGCCATGTTTCACGTCAGCGGGCACCTGGTTGGGTTCTTCAAGCCATCAAGGCTCAGCCCTGGAAATCATCTCTCCATTAGTGAAGGGCAAACTCTTTAAGTCATGGCAAGGCTGTGCTGTGGCTGAGCAGGCTGCCAGGAGAGCAGGCAGTGTTTCACAGGGTTTTAGTGCTCCAGGGTTTACCTGGATGCCTTCACGCTGCCTTTCTCAGCCATGTGCTGGGAAAGGCTGGGCTGAGCTCAGCTCACACGCATATCCAGGCAAGGTTTGCAGGGTGGAACTAGAGGGATCCAGCCAGCTCAGATCACTGATAAGCCACACTCTTATCTCCTTGCAAAAGAGCATGCAGATACAGCCAGGCACTGCTTTGATGCCAATCAGATGCAATTTACAGTGTTTTCCAGATCTCATACATCTCCTGTGACTCTCAGGTTATACACTTTCTTAACCTCATAGCTGGTGGATCATCTCAATGTATAAAGACCTCAGTTTCTATCTGTATTTGTTTAGAAAGGTAGGACTAAGTTTTAGGGCTGTGGAGAAAAACCTTGTGAATATAATAAATACCAGGAACGATCAAGTTCATCATTTTTAAAACTAATTATTTTTATAGGGCTGATTTACAGTTCTTCAGTCATGTGTACTGCTGCATTTACGTTGAACAGGAGAAAAGCACTTCTCAAATAGAGCTTGCGCTGTGCTGAGCTCACCTGCGCCTTGCACTGAAGGCTCTGCTTCTGCCATGGATACAGAATAATTAGTGCAGAAAACAGACTCTGAGATGTGCCTTGAGTTCAGCCAGTAACTACTACCAGAAATGCTTCACGTGATTACCGAGCAATGCTGCTCTTTCTAGTTCCATCTTTCTTTTTACCTCCCGTCTTGCTTTCTCTCGAGCCTTCCTTCCAACAATCTTTCAGCTTCCTTCTGTTCCCCCACAGCCCCAATTTTTCATTTTCGACAAGGAAAGTAAGATGTAATCTGGTGGATTTTCAATAAATGCTTACAGAAAGCATTCAGGGAAGAGCAAAGAGCCCCTCAGCATCAACCACCTCCTGAGCTCAGGACAAAGCACCTTTCAGCAAACACAAGAAGGGCCTTTGGCAGCCTTTAGCTGGCTGCCATCTCCTGCAGGATGAGTCGTGTTTATTTTCAGCCTTGTGGCACCCACCTGGGAGATCACTGTTGACCAAAACTCAATTTGGGATGATCCTGATTAAACTCATCATTTTATTT